CCCAAACTGGAGGGAGCAGGGAGTTGCAGACTGGGTAGGCTCTCATTTGTTATGACTTTTCATTCCCTTTCGAGTTATTCATACAATAATTGTATTTGTTAAGAATTACCTTCTGTAACAGGGGAAACCAGTGGGAGGTTCCAAGGAACCCTTGAAGGAAAATGTGCTTCACAAGCTCAAAGTAAGTTAATTGTATACTGTGGATACTTTGGTGGATCAAAATAGGATTAGCATTATGCATCTCTACCTGCTGACCTTTTTACTTGCAGACTGACAATGATCTCAATTTATCGCCATTTGGCGACGATGAGGCCAAGAAGGTGCCATTTGACATTTTCAAAGTAAGTTTTTATGTGTGTACGTATAACTTGTTCAAGTTTAACAATTGAATTTTCTTAAAATTTGAGATGCTTGCACATACATAAAAGAAGAAGCGTTTCCTTTAGAATGTGCACCAATCAAGTCTCATCCGCCTCTCTCCCTGATTTTGCAAGCTTAATGCTTCTTCTGAAGTCTTTCTGAAGTCTTTCTATTTACTTGTAGGAAAAAGTCTTTGCTGGCCCTATTCTTAGAAGTCACCAGTCGAATAAAGTCAACAACAATGAACATGATGCTCATCCTACAATCTGCATTGATGATGATGATGATAATTCTAATGATGCTTATTTGGATGATAAGAATGGTATGGTACTTTTATCATGTTTTACAGCTCTTGATTTACATCTTATTTTTTTATTCTTTGTGCCCGCTCCTTATGCCTTTTCAGATAAAGACTTCAATCCAGAAGGTGTCAAGAAGACGGGCACCAAAAAAAGTCAATTGTCGTTGGGAAGCAATAATGTGAGAAGGTCTGGAAGGAAAAAGGGGGGCAAAAATATCCAGCCACCAAAAAAATCAATCAAAGATGAGTTGGAGAAAACAAAACTACAACTTAAAGAGCTGACAGGTTTGTGACAGAAATGATGCTTCCTTCTTATCATATGGTGTCTTCTCATTTTTGACTACAATGAAAGTTTTGTCACAGGTGCTGTAAAGCCTGCTGAAAGTGAAAAGCTGAAACCTGGTCCACTAATTCAGACCTTTAAAAAAGTAAGTTTTGTGCTTGTGTCGAACGTTCGACACAAATTTCTCCACAATTATTACTCTGTAGTTCTGTGCTATCATCATATTGACAGTTTTAAAAATTACATTACAGGCTAAAAAAGTTCCTACCAAGGAAGACATAATATGTCAACTTAGTTCGTCTGCCATAGAAGAACGGTTCATCGACCAAATTTATGATGGGTGCCTAATGACCAAGCCCGAAGTGACGTGGGATGATATTGGGGGCCTCGAGCCAATGAAAATTTCTATGAAGGTGAATTCATGAGTTATGCCTTGCAATTTCGTATGTCAAGAAATTTTCAAAAATTTCATTTTCTCATTTTTTTAGGAAATGATTATAGATCCCTTGAAACGACCCGACATTTTCAGAGGTCTCAGGGCAGCACCGAAAGGTGTTCTGTTGTACGGGCCACCTGGAACTGGGAAAACAATGATTGGTACCTAAACTGGAACAGTTGCTCTCTTAGCCGTGGACTTATTATTCTTTGACTTGGGAACTTCCTTCAATGTTTCAGCTCGATGCATTGCATCCCAGTGCGACTCTTCTTTTCTTAATGTCAGTGCCAGCAAGCTCACCTCCAAGTGGGTGGGCGACGGTGAGAAAGCTGTGCAAGCGCTCTTTGCTGTAGCTAGGTGTGTATGTATGGTGATAGCTTCATATACTTTGTCATTTCCTTATGTAGTTCAGTTTTACTGTTCTCTGCACTCGCATTATCTTACCAAGAATGCACTGTAATCATCTTCTCTCCAAACAGAGCTATGCAACCGTCGATCATCTTTATCGATGAGGTAGACTCTATGCTGTCAAAACGAACAGAGAAAGAAAACGAGTCGTCGAAAAAGATGAAGTCTGAATTTCTTGTTCAGATGGTAAGTTTTCTGACCATGTCAGATAGGCATATAAGTGTCAGGCAGGACCAATTATTGTTGATTATCAGATTGTACCTTTTTTCATCTTGTTTTTAGGACGGTGCTGCATCACAGGAAGCTGACAATGTATTGGTCATTGGGGCGACCAACCGCCCAGATGACTTAGATGAGGCAGTTAGGCGCCGCTTCCAAAAGCGGTTCATGATACCATTGCCTGATAATCAGGTAACTTCACTCTTATGTATTAGATGAAACTTCCATCTTTGTGGAGTAAATAACTTTTTAAAATTCAATTCCAGGGGCGACTTCAAATTCTGAAGGCCGTATTAGCGCATGAGAAAATAGCCTTGGAAGAGGCGGACTTCTGTACAGTTGCAAATTCCTTAGAGGGCTACTCTGGAGCCGACATAAGGAAGGTCTGCGCTGAGGCCTCAATGACACCTGTTCGGGAATGGAGTGGTTTCCTCGACACAGTTGAACTCTCCGAGGTAAAAGTTTGACTACTCTTTTAGGCCATGTATGTTGGTGCTAAAGTATTTACACAATAAGATTGAAACAATTACATTGTTTGCAGATCAGAGCAATTGAGCTGCATGATTTGATGGAAGCTGCCGAGCGTGTCAAACCTTCAGTATCTTTGAAAGATTTGTCCCATTACGAAGATTTTCACAAGCTGTATGGGGACAAACCTTAGCATGCTTTAAGATATACTTACAACTTCTATTTGTTTTTGTATTTGTTTTACATGCCAATGCGGGTGTTTTTAATATTTTCAGTGTTTTTCTATATCTTTCTTTAAACGTTTTTACATTAGACAAGTATTAAGTTTCTTGTGTACGCCTGTGTTAATGATTGAGTTTCTTTTACATTCCAATTGGGGTGTTACCCCCTTTATTTATATTGTTACTGTTTTTCTGTATCTTTCCTTGACAAGGAGAACAAGTATTAAGCTAATAGTGTTCCTTCTTTTTGTATGTTGTTTTTTAATGTAGAAAGAAATTGGATAGCTTCATTCTAATTTGACATACTGTATGTTGCAAAAAGAAGCTCATATGTCCTAAATGTGAACTTGCCTACCAGCACTTTTCTTAACACCTGATCTATTTTTTTTAGTAAAGAAGGTTGATTAAAAATGCAGATATGAATAAAGAGTGGCGTACTTTATTTGTAAGATACAATACTATATCACATATCACTTTCCTGAGGTAACTAAATGCTGAAATTACAATACAATCATGCATCTCATTACGTAAACCAAGTATTGTCGACTGAGAGCATAAAATGGTTGCGCAGAGAGCATGAAACATACAAGATTACTACATTACTTTCATAACATATTCAACTTAACAGTACACTTGGTTCTGAACCATTGAGATTGAAAACTTTACAGAATATTATGGTAGTTGACAAAGGCTTGAAATATCACACATCTTAGACTTACAAGAATAATAAAACAGTCATGCTCACACAAATATTCCAACATGACAAAAATATATCACAAGACAAAAAATTCAACCCAAGTTATTTTGTGCAACCCGCAGAAAACGTCCAAGGCAAATGCTCATTTCACACCATGTTAATTTCAACAATGTCTATGGCACAATACTCAAGATATACTTGGCAGCTTAATGAACCATCCCCTTAGGTATCCATGGAAGAATGAAAATCAACACAAAAATATGGAACACTTCAAATTTACAAAGAAGATATTGAAACAGGTGCCATGGGTGATTATTAAGAACTTGAAATTTTCTTATTACACTAGTCAATGAAATTTTATGCTGGTAAACAATTACACAAGTGCAAAAGGTTTAAACTTGGGGGGGAGGGCGTGGGCAGTGGCGTCTGTAAGGATTCTCTAATGTTCTGGATGCATTTCTAAGGAAATTACTCATAGTTATCTGGTTCCTATCTAGTAATCTAGTTAAATTGCATATCCTGGCATCATTAACAAGAGCACTGACTTTTCGTCCTCTTGTGGTGTTCTCACCCCTGTTAATGTCAAAATAATCTTGAGCTGCCTGTTCTTCCAAAGTAAGCAGACCATCTGAAAAGATCAAGTGGCAAGGAGACAGGTAACGTGCAACTTTGCATACTGTGGATAATATAATACTTACTGATGAAATTGAACACATTTGGTCGTCTCACATTCATTGCCAATTGCAGAGAATTGTTCCAACTCTCGGCAACATTGTTTGTACGGTTTTCGGATCCGTATACAGAGAGCACATGAGTCCTCTTTGCAATATACTCTTCATAAACATACTTGAAGAAAGGATCAAGGACACGATAAAAATTTTCCTCACTAGCTCTAGTCATAACAGCTGCTAATGCTTCTGGAATTCTGGGGGTGGGCACAAGAGGAATGGCAAGGCAGCTCCTTACCAAAGAATCAATTGTTTCATTAGCAGCAATAAAGCGTGCTAAACCAAGCTTGTTTGCTTGAGCACTAAGATTCTGTTAAACAACAATCTTGAGTAAATATTAAAAGGCAAAACTAAAGCACATTAACAATGCACTCAAGAAGCAAATGGAAAATTTACTTACATTACTGTAGTGATACAAACATCCTTCAACAATTGCATCTACAAATATTTTTTTGAAACTGTTGTACTCAGCAAATTCAAAATCAGTGTGAATTTTATCTGGTTTGAAACCAGGGTTCAATTCTTTTATTGCTTGCAGAAGAATGGTATATGTGTGTTCTGATTTGCTCTCCATTAAACAAACACACAAGGGAAGAATCTGCAAAAGAAGTGTTTACAAAATTAACAACAAAAAAGTGTTTACAAAATTAAAAATTAAAAAAAGATGACACACTGAAGATGATCAAAGAGAAAAGTACGCAGCATTAATTTTCTAAAAAAATTCTTTGACAAGTTTTTTAAAAACTTTTATCACAACTTTCTGTATGATGGCTTTGTCTGCTTGATGTGAATTAATTAATTATAAAGTATAAGGCACAGGAACATCATACCTTTCACATAAGTATGTCAACTGACCTGATTATTTAATAATGTAGTCATGGAGAAGACTTGGCTACTATTAGGACAGGATGGCCTCCCATCCCATGTAGCATCAGCAAAAACCTCTTTAGCAGAGGTACACATAATTTCTTTCATAGTTGGAGATTGAAAGATAAGACACCTGGAACGCATCCTGGCTGAGCCACAACTTCCAGCATACAAATAACCATCTCCAGACTTGGTCATGGTGAGATGCTTAAATTGCTCACTCCGAAGTACCTCATCCAGTTGAGAAAGGGTATGGGGTAGACGAGGTACCACTCTCATCCTTGCTCTTCTAATGGCTGACCTCAATATTTTGGCTGAGCATTGAAGTCTGATGTCTCTTGAGTAACTAAATGATATGAAAATGCCCCATAATAAATATATATGTACACTGCACGCAACAACTCAACTCATTGTCATGTACATTGACAAAAATACTCACCACTCACTCTCTTGAGAAACAATAGTTTTAGGACGAGTAGTATCTCGAGAGGAGCACCTGGCTATAATTGCTTGTCTCAGCTTCCGTACTTTACAGAAATTATAATTAGGCATACATGTGTGGTCAGTACTGATAGTCAAGGACTTCCAGTCTTTTGATGCCACAGCTCTACCAGGACAACGAAGTCTTTTCCAATTGATACACCTCAGAGAAGCTGATTCGTTTACTAATGTCCTATTCTTGTAGTAGTAAAAACCATCTCCCTTATAATAAAATCTGGACTTCTTCCGAAATCCATCACCAATAAATACAGGAGACATATCAGCCAGCTTTCTATCGCACTCTCTGAAACACACAGAAAAAATTAATTAGTGACAGTAGGGCTCTGCAGCAAAATAATTTGACCAACATTCTGAAGATCTTTTTCGGTGATAGTAATTTCTATGGCGGAAGTTCTGAACCTTCATCGACCTGCAAAATGCAACACTAACAGATTTCAAGAAATCAATAAATTGATGTGCCGATCGATGAACCTTTGCACTGAAATTGTGATATAATACAGCATGGCTCACTGAGCAATTGGTGCCAAACAGAAAAGATATTAAAGCAAAAGAATATTGTAGCTCAAAGCGAGGTGAGTCTGAAAAGAGATTTCCCTTGGCATTACTACCCATCACTTAACAGTTTCAGACAGATTACAGTTGCTTGAATTTACATAAAGCAGACGTGCCATAAATAACACCCTTATAATTCTTATTATAACAAAAGAGGCGACTCTCAGTTCTTCACCAGTTGAAGCCCTTACTACAATAGGATGTTTTAAGAGCCTGGCACCAAGTATGCGGCATTTCACCTGATTTTAAAAAAGAGTCTACATCAGACAAAACTTTGAGAATACTACTAATGCTTACAGACACTTCCAAATAGATGGCAAAACACTACACTGAGAATTTTCTGTGGCCCCTCCATCTTGCACATCAAAGTGCGTACTTGAAAATAAGGTGCTCTGCAGATCCCACAGTAAGGGAGCGCTTTCCCTTTCCATGCATTGCAAGACAACCTGCAAAGAGTTATCAAAGATATTATCTTTTCATGGCTACAGTCTCCATCAATCAGGTATGAAAGGTACAGTGTGAAGATAATACTTACAGTGCAGGCAACTTGACTGGGCCTTTGCTCAATCCATCAACAGATTTCCTTCGTCAATGACATAATCGACTGCGCATCCCTCTCCTGCAAACAGCAAACAGACATAAACACTTCTGAGCAAAATAAGGGGCGACAATGAAATGAGACATACGCAGCAACACTTACATAACGATATCACATTTCAGCTTGGTGAACAGCTTGCATTCCTGGCTCAGCTGCCACGGGAATCCGAGAAGACTATTAAGTGTCGATAGGATAACTTGAAGTCCTGGACAGGGACTCGGAACAACCTACCGTAAAACAACAGCAGATTAGCCAAAGCATGTTACATGACAGAAATGCAGTGCCCAGACGGACGCAGCACTTGCGGGCGGAGAGAAAAATGTGCGAAAAATCGCACGCAAAAAGCGAGGCATAGTCAACAGGTCGAGAAAGTTGCGTGCAACGAATATTCAATGTGTTCAGCACTACTACCGGGAGGTTATGTACACAGCGGTGCACAGCATAAAATAGCAACAAGAAACATGATCGTGCGAAACATTGACCACGTTCACAGAGACTTACGCATCCCTCGCACCCACGCCGCGTTGACACCGCTGACACAAACCGCAAACAGATTCTCAAAGTATTGGAAATCGATTGATTCTCAGATAAGTTTGTGTTGTTGACGTTCCGGGATCGGCATTGTACGACGCACCGCACTTGCTTCAGAGGTGAGGCGAGCAGAGGAGGTCGGGAGCGAGGCTAGGCGCCGCGTATGAGAAACTCGGCTTGGAGCGCGAGTTCCAAACGCAAAGACGCACAGCACGTTGAGGTGAGGCCCGAGGCCGAGGCCACGGAACAGCATTGCACTTGACGGAGGAATAAAGTAACGCGGATAAAGATCGGGCAGGAGCAGGACACACTACGACATTACGCAGGCGTTACACCGTTACACACCTGTGACGAACCTGGACGGACGTCGGTAGATCAGTCAGTTACCGTCGGGCGCCTGCCGAGGAGGCGGGTAGGCAACCCACTCGGCTCGGCGCCGGCAGGGGTTGCCTACTCACCAAGTGATCCCGTCGAAGGCCACCCGGATGCGGCAGGATGATCACCCCACACGGGGCTCAAGGAAGCACAGCGCTTAACCACTTTCGTCCTTAATGGGGGCGCACCGATGCACTGAACTTCTTACAACACGGTGGAGGAAAAGCATGCATCGCTCCACCGTGTCAAACACGTAGAAGGGCAGAGACGGGAGCTGTGGCGTAAGGCGGTTGGTTGGCTGT